CCTCTATCTCTTTATCTGAAAGAAAAATAATCTGAAGGGAGGGTGTTAAGAGGACAGGGCCAGGCTCGGCTCCGTGGTGCTCAGCATAGGATGAGAGGCAACAGGCACCAAGTGAAACACAGGACGGTCTCCTGGGCATGAGGAAGAGTTTTTCCTGTGAAGGTGGCTGAGCAGTGGCCAGGTTTCCAGAGGGGCTGTGGAGCCTCCTTCCTTGCAGGTGTTCAGCAGGATTTGGGCACGGCCTTGGGCAACGTGCTGTAGGTGACTCTGCTTGAGGAGTGGGGCTGGACCCGGTTTGTTCCCTCCAACTCAACCAGGGGTCGCCTCCAACTCAACCATGCTGTGAAAACTGTATCCAAAGGTCTAGTGTCCGATTAGCCAAGTCCACTGCAACCCCTGGCTGAAATATACTCCACATCTCCATATGGGATTCAAGTTTCCATGMAATAATGGAGCTATGTGCCCTTGCCTGTTCCTGTTCCTGTATTGGGATGGGTACAATAGTGTGGTAGCTCAGGCCAGGAGCACCTTTGGGTGGAAATTTGCTGATCGTCCCCACCTGTGAGGGGACGTCTTGCAGCAGAGCAGACCTGGATGCACATCTTTGGATCCCTCATCTTGGGATCACACTTGCTCACCAGAGGAAAACTGGGAAGGTGAGGTCCTTCTTCTGAGAATGCCCATATTTCACATGGATATGAATAAACAGACATCTCTAGATTTCTATTTTTTTATTTGAATTTTATTGAATTTACCAATTCTTACCTGTGTGAACTAATCTGGACCACCCCTTCTATGCTCCCAGCGTTATCATTTAGTTACTGGTATTGTTGTAACCTTGGGAGTTAAAAACACAAAAAATACTTTTAAATTTTGTGTTCCTTCTCTGTGTTGACGTTTCAAGTACCGCTCTAAGTGGTAAGGCAAAGCTGGCAGGACTTGCAGACTTGCTCCTGGGGCAGCACCACGGAGCTGCCCTACGCGGGGTTACATCCTGTTGAGCTGGGCCAGGAGCGGGGCAAGGCGGGAGGGGATATTTTGGGTTAGAAAGGGCTTTTCTCGGGAAGCGCGGTGCTGTTCCTGCTCAGGGCTGTGCACGGTGACGTCGCGGGGTGGGGGAAGAGGGAAGAGGAGGGCTGATCTCCCGGCAAACAGCTGCTGCAGCTGCAAAAGGGCGGGAGAGAGGAAGATGGGCAGCAGCAGCGGCCTGGCCCGCCACAGGTACCGTCCGCGCAGCAAAGGTGCCGCTCGGCGCGCCGTGCCAATGGGGAAGAGAGGGGGGACCACGCAGGGTCGGGGTGTGCGGGGGGAAATGGGTCCTTGGGGCTGCCCGCTCTTTCCTGGACGCTTGAATCCCCATTCTGGAGCGGGAGGGACAGATGTTCAAACCAGAGGAAACGGTGTCAGCGGAGGGGGTTTCAGGCTGACCTTTCCTGAAGGAAAAGAGGGAAGGAAGGGAATGCTGCTCCGGGCTCGGTGAGGGCTCGCTTCCTCATGCGACCCGGCGGGCCGCACTGCCCACAGGAAGGCGGCGGCGCCCGCGTCGGGACCGACTGCTCCGCGCGGGACCAGCTGCTCCGCGCGGGATCAGCGCCTTCCGTGCCTGGCTCTCGCCTCGGCCTGGACGCACTGCCAGCACCAAGCTCGGGGAGAGCCTGGACTGCAGAGAGAGCCTCAGCACCTCACACTGAAAACGACCAGAAAGCAAACAAAAAGAGGTCTATTTCCGTATTGTTCTGCTTGTGAAAGCACATCAGTGTTTCCAAACGAAAGCTGCATCACTGCTGAACTCCGTGCCAGGGAGCTTGGGAACACGCTGCTGGGCACGCAGCATCCGAGTGGCCTCATGTTTCACCTCGTTTTCTAGGTTTCCAGCCCACAGAGAGCAGATAAAGTGAAGTATTTTCATTAACCAGGCGTGATAGCGAGCATTTCACTGCGTTCTCTTACAAAGCAGGGATAGGAAACCAGGCGGGAATGGCAACTGAAGCAATGGAGAGGACGCCCAGCCTCTGTGTCTGCTCACCACGAGGCCCACTTCCTCCCCCCATGGCTGTGCAGACAGCCTCCCAAAATGTGCTGCATCCCCACAGCACTGCCCCACAGCAGTACCAACATGTGCTGCATCCCCACAGCACTGCCCCACAGCAGTACAAGGTGTGCTGTTCTCCTTAGCGAGAGCACTAAGGCATGAGGACAGGACAAGGAATAACGGCGGCGGCGCACCCCTTTGGGGTACAGGTGGCTGGAGGGGACAGGTGCCCTGTGCACGGTCAGACGGGAGTCCCAGCAGAGGCAGCGCTCGGACATCTGAGTAACTGAGTTGAGCTGGGCCTGCTCAGCTTGGAGAAGGGAAGGCTGAGAGGGGACCTGATCAACATGTATAAGTTCATGAAGGGAGCATGCAGGGAGGAAGGGGCCAAGCTCTTCGCATTGGTGACCAGTGACAGGACAAGGGGAAATGGGTACAAGTTGMAACACAGGCAGTTCCATCTCCATGTGAGGAAGAACTTCTTTGCTGTGAGGGTGCCAGAGCCCTGGCACAGGCTGCCCAGGGAGGCTGTGGAGTCTCCTTCTCTGGAGATCTTCCCAACCCRCCTGGATGCCGCCCTGTGCCCCGTGCTCTGRGTGTCCCTGCTGGAGCAGGGGGCTGGACTAGATGATCTCTAGAGATCCCTTCCAACCTTGAATGTTCTGTGATTCTGTGGGCACCTATTTATCTGTGGGCATCGATTTTCTGAGGGCACCTATTTATCTCCTGGTCCGTATTTTGTCACTGGGATGCTGCAAAGGAGAAGGTACAAGATAAATATGGACTGGTGCCTGCTGTGAACCTTGAAACATGGGAGTTCTAATTAAAGCCTTTTTGCCAGGGACCTTTTAAGTAGAAACACATGGTTGAAGTTTCGTGTTGGGACACAACATTGTCAGGACAAAACAGGCTGGCCTCAGCCTGCCCCCCGAGAGACCAGCCCCAGCTCCTGGTGGCTAAGAAAGGCCTTTGAGAGTGTTTCATTTTCCTTGGTTGCATTTAAGTCTCTGGATATTTTCTGCAGATTTCTCTGCTTCCATTAAAGATCTCCCTAGTTTGGTACTTTCTGTGCTGGGATTAACATAGCAGGATGAAACTCCATGTTGAGGTCAAGGCCAGTTCCTCACATGGCGAGAGCATCAGCAGSTGAGGAGATCTGCTCTCACGAGGTTTGATCATGAGTTTTAACATGAAATAGAGTCCTGCCCAATACTGCCCCAGCACTAGCATGAAGCCATGTTTACAAAAGTCCTCTGAGTTATGCTCTGTTGAGCTAAGATTACAAGCCTAAGAATCATTAAGAAAACAATTTTCTAGACAACTGATGAACAAAGGGGAAGAAAATAAACCCAAACCTTGCAAAGGCGATTTCTGAGGACACGAGGCACATGTTGCACACTGATCTTGTGAACAAGAGGGAAACCATATGCTAGGCTGGCATCCCGTGCAGAGCCCAYAGCAACGTCAGGCTGAGAGGGCCCGTGGAGGCTGCTCCTACAGGTGCTGCAGGCACCACAGAGCTCCAGGAATAAGGCTGCATCTGAAATCAGGAGAGTGGTCTTATTTTTTGACAATTCCTGATACACTGTCCCTTCTGTCTTTTTCTTAGGAAGACAGAGAACAAAGTCTCCTTCCCTATAAAAGCTCATGGAATCACTGGACAACTTTTATAGATCCTGCTGGACATGATTCCAACTACTAAGCTGTATCATACAAGTGTATTCAAAACATTCCCTTGTCTACATCTTTAAGTGTCTTATTTGCATAATAGCCAGGGCCACTGATATCTCTTAGGACCTAAATTATGCTATCAAATGTTCCCAGGCTTGTAGAAATAACAACACAAAGAGCAGCCCATCCTACTTAATAGAAAGAGAAAAAGAATGAGATCCCTTGCATATATTTAGCATAAAAATTTTGAAGTGGTGTTGATTTAAATTAGTTTGCCAGTTGTGTATGTTACTGCTGTTTATCAGTTTTGTCCATGTTGTTTATGAGTTTTGCTGGTAAAAATGTATGTTCATTCGCTGCATTTAGATATTTCATAACAAAGGTATTTGCTTTGTTAATATGCAGGTACAAATGGTGTAAAGTTTGACAGCCGAGGCTGTCAAACACAGCATATTGTGTGTACACAATATGTATACACTGGATTAAGTAGCAAGGGAAAGCTGATTTATTACTCATTGTGATAGGAAATACAACTCATTAGGAAATGTAACTAGTCAGTTATAATTATATACGTACAGGAGAGGAATTCTAGTATAACACCGACAATGGCATTTCCAGCAAAGCTAGACACTATTGCATCTGTGAGACAGGAAACCTCCCTCTGGAATAAGTCAAAAAAGTCTTTCTGGAAGACAGAGAGTATTTCCAATATCTATGGAGTTCTCCAAAAAATTTGGAATAGCTATAAAAGTTTGCCCCAGCAAGAGTTAATTCAGTTTTGTTAAATGCAACTTGAAAACAAAGTGAGCAGAAAGGCAAAGTTCCTAACTTAGCATGCATTAACAAAAACTGTAGAGCAAGGTGGTTAAACCAGGAAAAGACAGATACCTTTCAGACTCCATTGAGTATAGACAGAATTGGGTTTTTTTCACTTACAATTTTATTTAGTTGTATGCACTTGCTGCAGCTGTACTTGTACTCATGCTGTCTGCTTGCAGGCCTGTGGGTTCCTTGCATTGTGCTTTGCCTTAAACATGAGCCTGAGGCAGGTCTCCTGGCCAGAAGAAGGTCGCCTTGCCCGGGAGCAGAAGCGGTTGGAGGCTGGTGGCCTTGGAGGTGCTGTAGCTCCCATGACTACTGCAAGGAAGCAGGGTGCACATCGGGGGCCTGCAATACCTGTCTGAATATGCAGGTGTACATGTACATGCATATGCTGTTCAAAGGGGATGCAATGTGTAAAGAACAGAGAGCTTGGATACTGCAATGAATAACCCTAATATTTTACCCTTCACAGGTTTACCGTGAACACTTACCTCTTTGCATATGACTTAATACAGTTCTGTGGACATTCCTGGATTTTTACCAATATGATCATCAGGTTCATGTCATTTGGCAAAGGTAGGTTTCCTTCTGTACTTTACTTACGCATTTTAAGTGCCAGTGATACATGGAAACATCAAATTATAAATAAACTTGAGATCCTGGCCGGAATGAATGTTAAAAGGGAGGCACACATCAATGCTACCCAAGTTCTAGCTGAAATTACGGATACCTGTGTTCTAGCTGTACCACATCAAGAACCAGGTTCTTCTATGGCTAACGAGCTGCAGAATTTAGCAGTCTCTGCATAACATTTAGCTTAGACACAGACCTAAATGTGTCTAGGTCCAATCATTATTGTATGTATACCTCTCATTGAGGCCACTCAGAGGGAGTATCTTTGTGGTTACTGCAYGTTACTTTTTGTCTACCAGAGCATTATAGCACATTTCTCTTTCAGTGGTCAAGGAGTTAAGGCACAAAACCAGAAAATTAGTGAATGGAAATGTAAAGTRCTTTATAGATGTAGGGATCTGCAAGCACATAATATAGGTACTTTCTGGTCTGCTTATTCTATGAGGTTTTGTGGGTGTTAGCACAGGCAGAAACTGCAATAACTTTTCTAAATAAAGGGATATTTATAAACCAAAACATCCTTCACAGGGTTTTCCCCTGGATCACGTCTAGGGAATCCCAGTATCTCCTCAGCTTTCCCCCTCTGCAAGAACAGAGAGCTCTTGGGCAAATGTTGTAGTTGGCCCAGATTTTTCTGTTTAACTGTGGTCTAATTTTTCTCCTTCCTTTGCCTGTAGATTCGTTGGCCGACACATTTTACTCCATAGGACTCGTGATGCGCCTTTGCCAGCTGTTAGCAGTACTGGAGATCCTGCACATCCTTGCTGGTATTGACAAAAGTCGTCTCTTCCCTCGTTTTTTGCAGGTAAGTTCCTTTCTTGAGGCTCTTCCTTCCAAAACCTACACACTTTGACTASGGCTGCCCATGTAACCCAGCCTGGGTGACCAGCTTCCTTCCTCAGCAAGGAGCTGGGTCCCACTTGCTGGCAGCAGAGATTTAACACCACACGACAGAGATGTGTGGGGAAATACCTGCCCTCTAGACCCTGCCAGCTGGCATGCCCAAAGATCCTTTTTTATTTTTATTCTTATCTTTGAGTAAGAGAGAACAAACTTAAGAGGAAGAAGATGGTTTAACACTGGGAGATAAAAGAGAATTTGCCTACTCTTTCTGTAAGAGTCTCTGCCCACACTCATGCAGATATGTTCAGCTTGTGGCAACACCCTGAGCTTCCAGCGTTTGAAAGGGTTTTTGGAGCATACTTTCAATTCTAGGCAGAAAACTGGTCTAGGTATCACACACTGCAGCAAAAGTCAAGATAATTCTCTGACTTTTTTTCCTAGCTAAATGTAACTTCAAACCTTCCACTCCTTAGTATTTGAATACTGGTGAAACTGATGTTGCTCTCAGCATTGAGAAGGTAGAAGACTAAGAGCAACGAGTTGTGTTTTTAGTTTTCTGGATAGCCCATTTTTGTCAAATGACATATTGAATGGGGGAAGAAGTTCCTCTTTTTAGTTCTTCATCAGAAATTGATTGACTAATGCATATCTCTGTTCTTGGTGCTCACCAAGTGTTGCATCAAATCTGTCAAAATGCAGTTAGCTGTTTTTCCCCCTGCCTCAATCTATCTGCACATACACAGAGGGAGGGGAAAAAAAAGGAAATGTCCAATCCAACATACTGTGTAAGAAACCTACARTCACCTCCTTTAGGTACAGTTTGTGCAGGAGAATCATTGGTGTCACCACAAGCGACACCGGGTGCGAAATGAAAGAGCTGAGCGAGAAACTTCCACCCCTGCCTGGGCACTGCAGCCCCCGTGGGGCTCTCAGGGCAGCGTGGCGAGGTGGGTTRGGGTGGGATAGCCACCCTCAGCACAGCCATGCAGGATCCTGTCTTGGCCGTGTCCCCAGAGTCTCCACTTGCCACAAACACACGTCTTGCCTTGATGTTAGCATCAGTGTTGAGCTTTCCAAGTGACATGTGCTGGTTTGCATGGAGGTTCTGCTCTCCCTGGGCTGGGCCTGTTTCTGCCACCAGGGMGCGGGTCGTGCAGCTGCGTGGCAGCCGTCCCCCAGCGTGAACCCCACACCTGGCTCCCAATCTCTTGGGCAAGGCAGGGGGGTTCCGCATTGCTCCGGGGAAGGACAATGTCGACAATGATCAATATTGTCCTTGATCATTGCAACCGGCACAATTAGTGCAGTTAAAATGCAATATTTTGGTAGTGGCTACCAAAAACTCTATTCTAAATTGAAAAAATATTCTTTGAGGCAATTTCCTGGCCATGCATGTCTGCAGTGAAGTTTAGCTCATTAGCCTGTCTCCACGGCAAGACATGAGGCGGCTGCAGCAACACCAGGACAGTAACTGGGCAGCATTGATGTCACCTTGAGCATAAAAGGACGGATGTGGACATGACCACACGACGGCTGAGTATTTGTAGGTATCATAAGAAAGACAAGCTTTAAACAGAGGATCTTCCTTGATGCATTTACAGGGAGCCCTTGAGAAACATGTTACAGATAAAGGAAAAGCAGGCGTAGACATGTTCCTTCAAAAGGGGGGAAAAAAAAAAAGAGAAGAACTGACCTTACTGACCTTGTCAAGGGAGATATTTAAGCAGGGCTGGAGGGCCAGGACTGGGCCGTGCTTCTACAGAGAGATGATCCCCCATATGATGGGTGGGGAAATGGAGGCTCAAGGGTCTCTAGGCAAGAAGAACTTCGCCCTCAAGTTTTCATGAACAAAGTGCAGTTCTTCACCCCAAGTGCAAACACAACTGCATTTGCCAGGCCAAAACAATGTGCTGCAGCTTCTTGCCAAGATTACTAACTCTCAACTTAATTCACTTATTCACTAGCACTTTTTTAATCTACTGTTCCTCTTTTCTAAACACCCACTCAATCAGAAAACTGTTTGAGGGGGAGGTCTGGATTTCAGGTATCAAGAGTGATACTGGCAGCCAGGCTTAGTAAAAAAATGGAAGAGAATATGCTGCTTAATCCTGCCCTAACGTCAGATGATCTGGTTTGGCATTTTTCTCTCACTGGGCCCCAGTGGCCTGGTTGCACTGTGGAAGTTTATGCTAACACATAGCGCTTTCTGAATCCTATGGGAGGCCAGAGCTGGGAGAAGAAGGAAATTCCACTTTGCTTTTAGTGCAAAGGACAACCAGGAATGAAAAATGAAACCCTTGCATTTATGCTTTGTGAGATGTCAGCCATCACTTCCTTTTTATGCACATGAAAACATAGAACTTCTGGCTTTACTTAGTTTTGCTTTCTTTCCTTTTTTTTTTTTTTTTTTTTTAAGCAAGAAATTGTGGCACACAACACGGTATTTTCATTCATGTAAATTATATATTAAGAAGGAAACAAGATGTAGTTTAGCAGTAACATATTTTCCCTATATACACATGTGCAGATATTGTGTATATATATATATATGTGCACATATACATATGTTTATATATGAGGGGAAGATGCATAGTGCACAGTGCAATCTTGCACAGCGCAAATGTCATTTACTAGTTCCCTAGTCCCTAGTGCAAGGGACATTTACCAGTTTCCATTTCCCCAAGCACCCCTGTCTTGCCCCTTGCTTCTTGGGTTTCCATCCTCCCCTCTTCATCGTCATCACCTCTTCCTCTCATTTCTGAGGGCTACCTGAAGCTGTGAGTGCTGTAAAGGAAGGCCTGGTGCTTTGGAGGGGAACGAGGGCAGGTGGCACATGGCCTCGAGCTGGAAAGCCTCTCCCCACCCCAAGACCACATATATGTTTTATATATATATATATTTATATATATGCTATATGTATACGTTATATGACTATAACAAACTGCTCCCATCATGCAGGGTGCACTCCCTTATCGTCATTCACCAAAACAACTTTAACCCAGATTCTGCTCCATCATGTCTCCTCCTTCTCCACGGAGTCCAGCCCACAAGCCTGCATCATCTCCTGCTCATCTCTCTTTTGATTTCCATCATGTGATAGTTTCCCCCCTTACTTCTTCCATCTCTGCTGCCTCTGGTTTGAGGTCTGGCAGCAGCAGTTGCAGTTTCCCCGTGGTGCCCTGGAGCTGTGCACAGAAAAGAGCTGAGCCCCATCCACGTTTCCCTGCTTCTTGACATCCTGCCGTCTTATAAATCGCTTCCTGAGCCTGGGACTGACAGGATCTGCTGCAGAAAATTAGTCAGGGCAGAGTGAGTGGCAACAAACTTTTTTTTGAAATCCGTTGGGGCCTCTCAGTGCGTTTTGAGAGGAGGAACCAGATCCCTAGAGGAGGGACACACTCTGTTTCTAGATGAGAAATTGCTCTCATGTAGTTTTACTTCATAGTAAAGTGTTGACTGGACGTTTCTGTCTGCCTTATCTGACAGATGTGGTTTGCAAAAAAAAAGTGAAAAAAAAAGTTTGTAGACTAGCTGTTCTACGCAAGAGCTGATAACATTACATAGCAAAACTACTGCACAAAGTTGCTGAGAGGCCAATTTCATTTTTGGTTTAAGGTCAGAGTGAGTGGGAGGAAGAAACTAGTCCAGAGGAATGAACGCACACTGAAAAATCACCTTATTATGTGATTTTCACTTCATGACTTTACACTGGCCTGACATCACAAAAAATCACTCAGCTCTGAGGTTTTTAACAGAAGATTTGGCTCTGTAAGCCAGTTGGTATAAAACTCAATGACATTGTCCTGAGTCACATCAGCTGAATATAAGTGTTTTGTCCTCCTTCAACACTTCCAAACGGTGTGTAAATCACAGTGAGGCCATATAGATTTGGAAGGGTTTTGCAGGAAGCTGCAGGCATCTATAATTGCATTTGTTTTTCAAGTTCCATGGAGGAGAACAGAGCATGGACATAGATATGAAGCTTCCTCCAGAAAACTATAAAAAGATCCATATTTTCAAAATCTTGAGCTCTAATATTGTCAATTTTTTTTTTTCGGGGGGGGGGGGTGAAGGCAGAGGGGGAAGAGGAAGGTAGCTGGAGATGCTTTCTCATACCTTGTCATTGGTAAAGGCAAATCTGAAAAGTCTAAAGCTGACCGTTAGATAAAGGTTATTATGATACAAATATTATGACAGCAATTGATATGAAAGAGAATAAGCTTAAATCCATTTCACCTGGCGAGGACACACACAGAGAGTCACAGCAAGGCGAGGGGTCTGCCCCTGGCACCAAGAGCGGGGCTGAAGGTCTCTGCTCCGGTCACTGCTGCGACCTCATCCACAGCCCAAGTCATCCACTTGGGTGAATGAACCACCCTCACAACAGGACCTGCAGACAGGGTTAYGGTTCCTTCACCTGGGGGATGCAGGTTCTTGAGCAAAAGCAGACTAAGAAGTGAGAAATCTGCCGGAGCTTGAGTAACACCAACTGGATTCACCCAGGGYCTCCTATTTGCCAAAAGTGACACAGAAATGAGAGCTATAAAACATGTTATTTGAATTCACAATTTTTTTTCTTTTCAGATCACTGAGAGAATAGTTGTTTTATTTGTCGTCATTAACAGCCAGGAAGAAGTTCAAGGGAAATACGTTGTGTGTGTCTTATTTTTCCTCTGGAATCTATTAGACGTGATCAGGTAAGGGGCTGAAGGGGGAACCATGAGAGGAAAGTGAGTCATTCCAGCAAGCAGAATCTACCCACAGAGCTGCGGATTCCTYATAATTTTGAAATTGGTAGAAAAGTATATTATCCATGGTAATGGACATGTTTATCAAGTCTGACTTGATAAACTGGATTTATTAATTTGTACAATTGGCATATCTGAGAAAATGAGTGAAACACAGCCAGGATATTACAAAAGTGGATCACTGCATTAACATTTCTGATTCAAAGAATTTGATTTTTCTTACACAAATTTGGAATATAAATGCTATTTCCCAGGGAAGGGCATTTCCCCTGATTTACAAGGCTATTGCTTTAAGAAGATATTTTCTTCTTTTTCTAACATSTCATTTAGACTCAGGAACCACAGCATAGTAAGGCAGCAGCTGTAGAACTTCTTATGACAGGTSATAGAATCACAGAATGGTTGAGGTTGGAAGGGACCTCTAGAGATCATCTAGTCCAACCCCCTGCTCCAGCAGGGACATCCAGAGCACGGGGCACAGGGCGGCATCCAGGCGGGTTTGGAAGATCTCCAGAGAAGGAGACTCCACAATCTCCCTGGGCAGCCTGTGCCAGGGCTCTGTCACCCCAATGTCAAGAAATGTTTCCTGAAGTTCCTGTGGAACTTTTGGTGCTTCCGTTTGTGGCCGTTTCCTCTAGTCCTATCAGTGGCCATCCCTGAAAAGAGGCCGCCCCATCCTCCTCACTGCCTCTTTATAGACACTGATCAGGTCCCCCCTCAGCCTCCTCTTCTCCAGGCTGAACAGGCCCAGCTCTCTCAGCCTTTGCTCATAGGGCAGATGTTCCAGGCCCCTGATCATCCTGGTAGCCCTGCGCTGGACTCTCTCCAGCAGCTCCACATCCCTCTTGTACTGGGGAGCCCAGAACTGGACACAGTCTCCAGATGTGGCCTCACCAGGGCTGAGTAGAGGGGGATGATCACCTCCCTCGACCTGCTGGAGACGCTCTTCTTAATGCATCCCAGGATCCCGTTGGCCTGCTTGGCCACCAGGGCACACTGCTGCCTCATGGTCAACTTGTCGTCCACCATGACGCCCAGGTCCCTCTCTGCGGGRCTGCTCTCCAGCAGGTCAGTCCCCAGCCTGAACTGGTGTCTCTCTCTTCCTCCTCAGRTAAATGTAATATGTGTTAATTACACTGTGCTTTTCAAACAGCCAAGATCTTCTGCAGCAAACAGRCAGGACTTTCATTCAGTAGGGCATGTATCACACAGCAGGAAAATTCACGAGGCAAAGGAGGTAGTAATAAATAATTTTTCTCAGAGAAGTTGCATATGATGGAAGGGTGACGTACTGCTCTGTGCCTGGGCCCYAGGCAAAGGTATGAATGTGAAAATCCCACTTGAGTGATTTTTGCATTGATGTCTGCAGACATTCATTTCTCACATGTGACTTAAGGTTCTACGGATCCTAGTTTGTAGACTTAAGGAAAACAAGACACRTTGGATTAAAAATATTTAAGAAAGATAGAGACTTCTTGCCAGTCTCTGGATGCGTGTAAATTGTTATATGTATGCACTTTCTATTATTCTATATATGTTTCACTGAGGAGTGACTGAAAATAAGGGTTTAGCCAATAAAAAAGAAAGGATGTTTAAAAAAAAAAAAGAGATCTGAGAAAGCAAAATGACTGGTGTTATGTGATCAGGCTTCTAAGTCAACTTCAGAGTCACAGGACTACATATATTAATATACTATTTAGCTTAATTATATGGATTATCTCTCCATTTCTTTTTGGACTTTGTAAAGTTAATTTTGTAAACCTCAGTCTCAAGTGAAAAAGTTCTGTGCAACTGGAATAGAAGTGGCCTAAACTGTAAACAACATATGAACTACTAATGTCAATACGTATTATTTTCCAACATTGCTTAATGACATAGTCCAACATGATAGGAGTAAGAGAAGCTGTTTAATAGGCATGATAAAATGGTCTGGAGCAGTAAATAACAATTCAAACAATAATATATAAGACTTTCAAATTTGTATAAATTATCTGATTTATTTTAAAGCATCTGTGCAGTGTCCTAGGATCTCAAAGAAGAGACCATCTCTGAACACACACCAGAATCTACTCCCCCCCTTATAAAAAAAATAGTTGTCAAGTGTAAAAAGTTCTCACATCTTCTTTGTCAAAATGTCCCAAGGATTATTGCACAATGTTATACTGAGAGCAAATTCTGCCAAGTTCTCCATTTTTGATCTTTTTTGCCTATAATGGTGAACTGTCCAAGGAGGCTTAATGGGCATGAGCAGCTCTAGAAGAGTCTCCGTTTTGTACTGCATTGAGATTATGCTTTCAATATAATAGTAATAAAAACATGGAAATGATCTTGAAGAATATATTTCTGTTCTGTCAAATTACTCTTCTACAGCTCAGGAACGATACAAAATAACTCAAGTAAATTAATTAAGAGGGAAACTCAAAGTTTATTTGACAAAAAATGTGACCGAACTGGTTTCTCAAGTTTTCGTAAGGTGGCTGCACCACTTTCAGGCCACACAAGTGAGCTAGGATTACCTCATCTTTGAGGACAATAATTCTGGCTACTCCAGAGCCACAACACAAATGACTTGTCAAAACCTGATAACTCACAGCTGCCCAGCTGAGGGGATCCCCTTATGAACCACCTCAAGTTTCATGCATGCAAGGAGGAACTGCTCTGTTTTGGGTCTCCTGGGGCGGCCCACATAACCAGCTTTTCTTTCTCTCTTTCCTGACACAGTTGAATCTTATTCCTACACCTCCCTGCATGAGAAAGCAAAGTTCATTGTGCTGAAGAGCATCATTAGAGGTCCAAGACCAACAACACTGCAAAAAGCAAAAGCGAAACAGGAGCATGCTTTCTCTGTTTTCTGATGAAGGATTCAGCAGTGCCTATAACTGAGATAGGACATTTAATTGCAGTTATTTTTCTCCCTGGGCTAGCAATTTAGGAGCTCTCCTAAGATGCTAAACCCTGATCACATTAGAAAATAAAACCTCAAAAAAACCAAACATCTATCACTAACATCAGCATTTACCTTTGACCACAATACAACACTGAAATACATTGGAGTGTACCTTTTTTTTCCCCTCACCTTTAGAGCACAGCAAGTGATACTTGTGAATACTTCAAATACTTAACCTCCTTCAGCAGTGGTTTAGCTAGCAGTTAAAAACTCCTGTTTTCTTAATCCTAAGCAACAGTCACTCTGCTTCTCCTGTGGCTTCCAAGGCCACATCCTTAGCTGAAAACTATTTTCCGACAGAGCAATAGGAGATTACACGGGTTTCTGAGTGCGTCTTTGGGCTGAAGCCAGCCTGCTCTCAGCCACCACCCCGGACACCCTTCCAAGACAACAGACTGCCTGTATTTAGACTAGAGCCTAAGGAAGATTGGTTCAGTATTCCTCTGAAGCACTTACTCAGCTGGGCAGTTCCAATCTCTTGTGAAACCCTCTATTTTCTTAATAATCTCTTTATTTTAAAGAGGTGCTTAATCCCTCTGTGGTCATTCCCCATTCCTCTCACTCCAGGTACACCTACAACATGCTAGCAAGGACAGGAATATACTACCTACCACTGACATGGCTAAACTTTTCACTGTGCATCCTGCTGTACCCCCTCTCAGTGCTGGCTAAAGGTAAGAAGGTGGAAAGAGAAATACCTACTCACTTTATTTTTTTTTAAATAATATTTGATCAGTTCAATCTTCATTTGTATTTTAAGACATTTCTTCATGTATTGCCASGAGAGATACAAATAAATGCTTATGCACTGCATATTTACCTGTATGCCACTTTCCTGTCTTCTTTCCTCTACTTCTTGCCTTATCTGGGTACTCTGTATTACTGCATTGTTGCTGGTATTTTATTTTAAAAAGGGAAAAAAACCATCTTCTCCTGATTAAAAAARCCCACACAATTAGTAGAAAGTAGTCCCAGAAAGATACATGGATCCTCCATTCCACACGAGCACTATCCAACTGCAGATCTCACAAGTGGCTCTTCTACTACTGCAGCCCACCCTAGCAGCTCAGGCCATCCTTAGACTAGAACAGCTCAACATACTTAGAGCAAGGAAATAGGCCCACTGACACTATACTGACAAGCACTGCAACRATAGCTATACCTAAGCATATAGTAAATAGTAATAATAATAGTAAACACTTGCTAACTTTGGTATCAAGATCAGTTAGCACCTCAGACTTATAAAATCATGCTGAAGAAAAAAACAGCATGCATGGTTTCAGCATACATGTGTATATACAAATGCAGCACATCATAAAGCTATCTGTGCCTTACAGATAACTTAGGCTCTCAATTAAATGAAGCTTTTTAATGATTGTTGACTTTCTTTTGAATAAAGACTTCCCACATTGTTTTACAGCGTTTGCAATCTGTGTATCACTGCCCTATTTTGAATCCCTTGGCACGTACTCCATCAAGCTGCCCTTTCCATTCGCCTTCTCCATCTACTTCCCCTATATCCTGAAAGGGTACTTGCTTGTGCTGTTCATAGGTAAGTAGCTCATCTGGCAGGGTCCTAACTCTACTGAGATATCTAGGAAATCTAGTAACAAAATCAGTGCAACTCCATTCACAAATCTCAACCTCTGCAACTCCTCCTGCAGAGCATTACATGGGGCTTGACACCAGCCCATATGATTTCCAGTCTTTCAAAAAACAAGTAACTATAGTTTGGTAAGAGACAGAAAGTAGGGAGTAAAAAAYACAAAACCAAAATACAACAATCAGTCTAAAATCATCTTGGTGTTACAGCTGCTAACTAAACAGCTAAATTTTTATCAGTTTCTATTTAATCATGTTCTCATTCCTCCTAAGAAAGTAAACAGATCCCTTCTCCCTAGTTTATAATAAAATATTTTAAAATATTTGAATGGCAGCTACCACCACTTTCAAGCTTTCATTCTGATACTGTCTTCAAAACAAGTTTGAATGTTTGGACAAGGTTTACAGAAGGACCTAATATTTGTAATGTTGCTCTTTCTTAAGTTCATATAAGGAGTTCTTTGGGGTTACCAGGTGCTGGCTTGTATTGTTTTTCCTGAATGAAGAGGTTTCGAACTTTGTGGCCTCCTGCTTACATCATTTTGGTTTTGATTCAGGTATGTACTTCATTATCCAGAACCTCTTCTCAGAAAGAAAAGCTCACCTAGCAACACGCAGTGTCAAAAAGAAGCAAAGCTAAGTTGATGTTTTGTTAAAAAAAGGAAAAAAAAAATTATTCTCAGTGGGCTGCAGCCCAACACATGTAAATATATTAGACTTTCAAGGCACATATCTTGTTTGTGTGCACATGACCTGGCTCACTGGAGTTCTCAGAAAATGGAAGGCTTTTTTAGAAATCACAAAACAGACAGCTCAAAATCACTAATTACTTTGAAAGTGATGWCTTCAAATGGCAGCAGCTTTTAATGTGAATGTACTTTTCTCTACCTGTATCAGAGAACTCTGAAAAACAAACAAATCTCAAAAAGCATCCCTACCTTCAATTAYGCTAACAGTGTTTATTTTAGTTTTAATTCTTGCTTCATCATCAGCAATACRTATCCTGTAGTGGCAACTATTTAAAATATTATTTTGTGCTAGGCAAAGGTGTATGTGAATCAGATGTGTAAATATTAAATTGGCTAAAACTCCATTCTCTTATGGAGCAACTGCTGAAAAACTGTACATTGTAAGGTACAGTTAATAATAGATCCAGGATTAATAACGGATCCAAAACAAAATGGCCCAGTGTTCTCTTTTCCAAACAAAATTCCAGAAAAAAATGCAGCTAAAACACAAACGTAAGTTACTAGGTTCTTATCYACTACATGTTGAATGGGGATATGCAAGGGCAAAACAATAATTACAATCATGCTTCTAGCAAACAGTAAGTATCTCTTCCCTACCATAGTTTTATCTATGAGAACAGGAGACAGGTAAACAAATATAGCATTATGTAGTCTGGCCTTCAAAAGTGTCTTTAAAATTGAGTGAATGACTACTGAAAGCCACATGCAAAGTCCTAGTCAGTGACTAGGACTAGTCAGTATTCACGTGACTTGTCCCTTGTACTTCTGGGTTATTATCTGAAAGGTGAAYGCAGCCTCAATGCAGTCACTTCGAGATGGAGAATCATGAGCAGAGACAGAAGCCCAGTGGATTCTGCAAAGGAGAAAATGGACTATATGGATCGCACAAATAACTGCTTATAGGAATGCAGGGATTTACCTATGTTTCATCTACTCTGTCATCTGCATGTGGACTTGAACTTAAAGCAGTGGGGAGGGAGACTCTGAAGAGTGGAATGGGGATAGGAAAGATGCTAGTTCACAATGATTGTGTTTGTTTTCCTTTGTGAAACTTTTTGATTATACAACTTTGGCAAACATGAAACTAACAGGGTGTTYAGACTGTTTTAAAAAGCAAACAACCAAATTGCTCTTGGTGAGATCTGTTGTTACATATCACAAATTAATACTCAACATACATGGTGGTCAGGGTGCCTGCCAACTGTTTTTGTCACTGAGTTTTGTTAGGAACCATAATCAATAGAACAATATATGCGCAACCTTGGATTTTTCTGAAGTACCTCAGAGCAAGTTAAGAATCTGGACATTCTTAAGAGAAATGCAAGTACTTCCACTTTGGACTTGGGGCCCAATATGACTTCATATTGACAGTGTGGATGAAGAAAAGCTTCACAGAAAACAGCCAGAACAACAGCTCATGAACAAACCATTGCAAACACACTTATGGTGGAAGATGGATGTGTTTCTCCTTTGGCAATTTGTTCTAATTTGTTGTAAGATTCTGTGCAGTCAAGATAAGTTGGATGAGAAAACACAGTACCTTTTATCAAAGTTTTTTTTTTTTAAACTATATGTGCGTAAAACAATAAAGATACAGGATGGGGTGCTCTTCTGTTTCACTGATTCTTAAAGATGGTTAAAAGGCTTTAACAATAGAAGGATTCGTAACATTTATGAGGGGAAGGATCTCAAACCTAAACTGCTGAAGAAAGGTAAGAAGTTACAAAAACTTCCTTCCAGCTTCCCYTTGTGCAGAGGTACCCTGGAGCTGGCACTGGTGAGACTGAGGGAATCAGCCTTCCATGACCCAGTTATAGCAGTCACCATGACTTTGTCTCCMGTCTTTACCTCAGTTTTTAGAATTGCTGAATGATGCGTGGGCGGAAAGATAACTTGTTTTCCCACCTCTAGAAACTTAAATCTTTGATCAAACCAAATCATTCTTAAGACCCCTCCAGAATGCCATTTAGGTAACCTGACACTGGAATTAAATAAGCATTTTTCTTACATATAAGTACATACACAAAGCAACTTCTCTAAGGATGAGGACGAAGAAATACCAGTAAGAAATTCATTAGTGTAACATGTAATTGCAAATGTCTAAACAGTCTTATGAATAAAAATGATATTTGACTATTGCATTTTTCTAACATTATTTAAAAAATATCTACTTTTGATTCAGCTTATGTACTGTCAGATTCTGCAATTCATAAATGCCTATTTGAACATGTACAGCATGGAAAAAATTTTATCTGCTAAATTATCTAAATGATAAACATAGCAACTGCATTTTTTTTCTAAGTCCATATCAGTTTTGTCTGCCCACAAAACAGCTATGCTGGAGTCAGAAAACTTGCAACTGCTTACTTGATCACCAGCTCCCTTTGCTGCTTCCCACTCATTTAGAATGTATTAGCAATTAACCTTCCCACCCAGGTCCCACAAATTCATTAGCTTCAAAGGAAATAATGAATTTCCCCTATTTTCAAATAGATGACTTAAAATAAAAATCATATTCATTTTTCCAACACAGGCACTAGCCACACAGAAGGAGGACCTCTCCACCATAGGTCATGATGATAGATAGGAATTATTTTTTAAAGAAAAACAGTTCATAGTGAGCCAACCTATATGCATTTCAGAGTGTTTTACTTCACACTACTTCTGTTTTAGTCCTGTAGGCTAAACTCACAGATCTTTAGGAGTGCATTGTGGAGTCCCTGCACGATCCCTCAATTAAACCAGTGATGGTTTAACTGAGAAGGAATGAAGTGCAACATTACCCAATGATGCCAATAACATCACAGTACGTGGGCATTGCCCAGGAAGTCCTTTCAAAAAGCACACTTTTCATCTGCACTAAAATGCTAATAATTATGCAAACTTAGATCACTAAGTTACCTTAGACTTGGTGCTGAGAGCACCATTAAAATGTCAGCGATTTGCCATGGCTACAGGTTGCTCCGAACATTTATGCACTGAGATGCTGCCTGGGTGAAAACTGTTTTCAGTGAGATCTTCAGTACATTTGCTGCTAGATGCAATGCCTCCTCAGTACGTAGCTGTTTACAGATCAGGAGATTGCCATCACGACAAGCCTGCTTCTGAAACAGAGCACCACAGTAAGCTTGCACACACCCAGTCACAGCTGGAGTGAGTACTAGCTGTTAGGCCCCATCCCACAGTAACCTTGCTAGGTGAGAAAAGCACAAATTGAAGCCAGAGAATTCCCTTTTACACAGACAATTCTGTCAATTGTGAAATGAAGAAAACGTCTGCAGCTGGGAACAGTATGGAGGCCTCAATGATTCATGCAAGACAGCTAAAAATCAGTGCTGCTTTCACAGATACTCTTTTGGAAGACACTATGAACCAATGCCCAATCACTTCTTTTTTGCTCGTTTTAGTGAACTGTCTGGCTAAACACAAAAATTCCTTTAAACTTTCTCTTAGCAAAGCTGGAAAGAGATATGTTTTCCATTACTTCATAAGGAAGAGAAGGAAGGGAAAGAAGAGAAGTAACAGGCTGATCTCTTCAGGTTGAAAAAGTAGCAAAGAGCTGCTGTATGGCCCTTCTTCTGGAGGCAGAGGAAAGCTCTTATGGACAACAGAGAATAAAGGGGACAAGAACAGTTTTAWGTGCAAGCAATCTGCAATTATCTTGGAAAGAGTGATTTAGTAGCCACTAGGACCCTTGATTTATATCTTGATAACCTCAAAAAAGCTGTTGCAAAGATGACAACCACTTTACTTCTCTCTGCTCATGTYACATGCCTTCTGTTAGCAAAGTTGTGTTGTCTTCATTACTAAAAACAACTATTATTATTATTATTAAAAATGTTATCAGTTAAAAATTAGTGTTCATTCTGAAACCAGGCTTTTGCTCTAAAAAACATACTTTAGTAAGTAAGCCTCATTCAATTTTTTGTAAGTTTTTTTTTCCCCACTTTTTCCACACTGCTTCTCTGTGTTAAAAGACCATTTCCTTCTAGTTGTCATTGAAACAACTCTGAAATATTTATTTGTCATTTAGACCCAGTACAACCCAAATGCAAGGTAGCTTGTAAGAGGAGATTGACCTACCAGTGAAAAAAAATGATTTTTAACATTATGAATCTCTGGAAAGAGGAGAGGGAACATAAACAATAACAAAAA